GACACTGTGTATTGGAAGGCTTTGAAAGGGCAAAGGCAGGCTTCTTCTTGCACCAATACTGGCGTTGTCAGACCCCGATTGTCCTTTTAGTGTCGTCTGTGACGCTACGGACTTTGGTATCGGCTGTGCACGTGCACTGCATAAGCAGACGCCGAGGGGCGAGATCGGGTGATCGCGTTCTGCGAAAAAGATTTTCTCAGTCCACGACAAGGAATTATTTGCGATAAAGTATGCACCTGTCAAATGCAGGGTACGCCTGCTTGACTCAGAGCTGTTTGTGATCGACACCGATTGTGCGTGCCTACGTACTGCGACTCAGTCGCCTCACCTCTCGCAGAGGATGGCCAGGTGATCTCCTTCTTTGCAGAATCTAACTTCGAGGTGAAGTATAAGCCAGGCTGATGCGTTGCCAGATTATGAGCTTGCTCATGTCACGACGATTACATCGTCAGTGTCGGATTTGATCCGCTCCGCATACGCGGGTGATGGTATGTGTGTAGCGGTGCTACAAACTCCCCGGGGCAAGAAGGTTGGAAACTCGGACATGAAATTGCCAGCGCAATTGCACGCATAATTACGATATTCGTTTGAATATCGGGCTTCTGTATTATATCACCGAATTGACGAATGCACCACGAATTGTGGCTCCTCACGATGAGAATTGAAACAGTGTGTTCTCTATGAGGCCCACAACACCACACTCATTGGTCATGTCGGTCGTGAGAGGGCCTACAGGTCTGTGGGTTTGCACTACAGGTGGCCGAAGATGCTCAAATGTACGAGCACATATGTGCGCACGTGTGAGACGTGTCAGAGGGTGAAACCCTCTCCGAATTCGGCGGTGCCGCTGTTCAGTATACCGGTACCCGCCAGGTGTTGGCAGTTAATGAGTGATGACTTTGTGTTTGGCTTGTCGGAAGATTCGGCGGGTAACACAGGTGTGGTGGTCTTTTTTGACCGTTTGAGCAAGATGGCTCTCTTGCGGCTGTGCCGGACACCATCGACGGTGTCGGTACAGTGACGCTGTATGAAGAGAAGAGAGTGGCGTCATAGACGCAGTCGACGCTGACAGCTTCTGCTGTAAGTAATTAAACAGAGAACTATTATAGTGCAAGCGCCTCCAAGCGCGCGTTTATGGCCTCGGGTTTTTACGCAACGAGGTGCTCCACGCCCTCGAGCCCAGCGGGGACATCGGCTTGTAAAGCCCGTCCTGCAGGCTGTAGGGCAAATAAGAGTATTCCTCTATCCTCAAAGAGGATTAGTCAGATGTAGATTGACTACGAGTGCTACAAAGTGGAGCAAGGCTGCCGTAGCTCTTTGCTTAAAGGAAACAGCTAAGGTCATTAACCTTACGTTCTATACAAGAACCATTACAAGTAGCGAATCGCAATTCGCTACTTGTAAGTACTAATGCCTTACCAAGGCAAACGAACACTTCTTTTAAAAAAAATATTTAATTGTTTTAGTTGCGGCAGAGCCGCCAATATCTAACACTAAAACATTTCCTGACTAATATAGTAATAAGTAAATATCATAGCTAAACCTAATTAATATAATAATATGCATTACTACTGGCAATCCTGCCACGTTGTGGCTTCGTGTTACGCTATAGCCATACCACTGTATTATTACACTAACTGTGTAACACACACCAATGTACGGTCGCACAATCTTGTGCCCCCCAAACTCTCACAAGGGCACGTGTAACCCCGTTGCATTATCCCTTCAGATCTTTCAAATTCCACCCAAGAATCAAGAATGGGCAATTTTCGTATCCCAACCAAAGCATCATTGATCGACTCAACATGATCCGAAATAAGAATGTTGTAACGAGGGATTGGACTAAAACACAACAACTCATTTTTCACGACCAATATCAAACAGTCACTTTTCTGCACTTGGTTTCAATTTGCGCATAGTGCAGCTTCAATCGTGAAAACATTTTATCAGTAAGTGCACGTGCTAAACTCCATGAGATTTTCTTCAGCTCCTTGTTTACATTTGCGATTAAATTTTTTTATCAGATGTCGGAAACAAAAAAAATGATATGCAATGCAACCCATCGCTTCTGCGGCAGACACTGGACCTTTGTCACGATCTGAGATCACAAATGCTGGTGGTGCTGGAGGTTTGATAGTAAGAAACGCGAAAAGAACAACCAGTTGTCTTGATTTTTAAGAGATACTACTACCACACAAACAATTTGAAACTCCTAATTTCCATTGCAAAAGCAAGCCACCAGAAGTGTCCCACTAATTGTCGTTTCAAAAAATTGTCCGATTTAGTGTCAGACTGAGTGATGCATCGGTTGAAATTTTTGAATGCAACTACTGCCATTCTCACGAAGATGTTTTTGATTTGTCATTTGACTTTGAGAGCTTCACTGTAGGATGGAAGCATTCACCATAAAGATGTACTTCGATAACTTGCAGACATTGACGCATTCATACATATATTTTGAGGCCCATTCTTTCCACCATATTCTGTAGTATAACAGGGGTAACATCTCTTCCACGCTCCTGGAATAATGCCATTACATTCTCATCTTTTACCAGATATCTTCATATACGTTTCTTGGCTATATTTGCTTCAGTAAGACACGAATGAGTAATAAATTTGGAGGGCTTCTAAAATCGTGATGTAATGTCAATTGCACCACATAAGTAAAACTTTCAGCTGAATAACCAGCCTTGTATCGACGTGTATCACTGACCGTGACTGGTATTGATGCGTAGTAAACGTATGATAGGTCATTATATCTTCTTTACAACTGTATACCTGCCTCTTAAAACTGGACTCCAAACTAGTCTTGTAACAAGGTTTCACGCGCCCTGGTACGAAGGATGTGGGCCACACGGGATGGTGTGATCTCAAAGTGGTGCGGGTTACACAATATGGTGTGACCACACAATGGTGTGGCTACACTTAAACAGGCAGTCACTACATATTATATAAATAGGAACACCTACATATTTAGATAGGCGGCTTTGTTGCAAATTATTTTACGCTTTAATGGAAGAGAAAGCCTGGGGTTTAGGCTGTAGTTACTCTTGGAGTAAGTTGATTTCGATCCGCTACACTCGTACTGGTTTTAAGTATAGATCAAAGGTCACCGACCTTAGCCAAGCTTCCTTTAAGAGAAAGGGCTACGGCAGCCCCGCTGCATGTTGCATCTTGTTCCTCAATGTCTGTATCAGCTGCAGACATGCTGCCTTTGAAAGTTGTGAAGTTTAACAATGATAGCCATCGTATTCATAAAATTTTGTTTCATACAAAAAAAATATTTCATTTTGGATTAAGAATTTTCAGCTGCTGCATATTCTACAGTCTTTTACACAGGACCATCAATGAGAATGTTCTCCATTTGAGAATAAAGAACTCTGCACATTGTAATTGATTCTATTGGCTCAGACTGTTAAAATTTGTTGTATTAACTTGTTTGTGAACTTCAACCCATTTGATTTGTAATACTGAAATTTACCGAAGATTTCGTAATGGAGTATTCCTTTTATTAAAGCTTGAAATTGGAGTATTTTTTATTACAGTTTAGAAATGGTGTATAAGCGTGTAAACAGAGATGCTAGATCTGTTGTTTTGTGGACGTCGAAAGGTTCATGCCCAGACTTGTCAACATGTACTCAGCCTGTTGTATAACTTCCTCTGAGAAACAATCGTCATCCTTACTAACCTGGTGGCCACTGGCGTCAATTTCGAGTGTCCTAAGCTTTAGCATGCACGCTTCTGCTTCCGCGATCATGTCTGATTGCATGAGCCCGCAAGCCACCGCCGTTCCTAGCGCACCACGTAAGCGTCCATAACAAAAATTTCTGGCAGCTCCCAATGCATATCCTTGGTCAAAGCCTTGCTGCAATGTCTCTTCCTTGCCAGTCTCTAGGCCATCACGAATGCCCACCTGCCATGAAAATATAAAAAATCAGACTACGCAAGACATCAAACGTGAGCGAAATAAAGTTCTAACGGTTTTCATGCGGCGCTCTAATGCTAAACTCTCTTGTTTCATTAATAATTCATTCCCTTCATCCTCACTTATACAGTCCTGGAAACCGTCATCTGATCCACAAGTGGTGCGAGTAGAAGTCGTGAGGTGCTGTGTCATTTGAAATTTCATATTAGTTATTGAAGTAATTTATTTTTGTCTCACATTCTGTATTTGTGCATCAACTTTTTTGGCTCATTTAAAAAATTGGCCAGTAGCAATAATACGAACAAACTTATCACTGCCATGCCTGCCGCAACTTGGTAATCCAAGACTTTACTCTTTGTTTAGAAATTAATGGGCTTGTCATACGCGGCCAAACAGGCCTCTTTAAACGCCTCACTTAGCGTCGGGTGGGCGTGGGACGTGCGCGCTACATCTTCGCTAGCTGCACCATACTCGATACCAATGACGCCCTCCGAAATCATTTCGCCGGCATTGCTAGCAATAATGTGTACGCCTAGCAGCTTGTCTGTTTTCTTGTCGGCCAGTACCTTGACCATTCCATCAGACTCTCCCACCGTACGAGCCCGCGAGTTGGCCATCATAGGAAACTTGCCCACATTGTACTCAATACCCTCTGCTTTCAGCTCTTCCTCTGTTTTACCAACCGAAGCAAACTCAGGGAATGTGTAGATAACACCAGGAATTGCACCATAATTGACGTGACCGTGCTTGCCAGCTATGATCTCGGCACAGGCTATGCCTTCCTCTTCGGCCTTGTGTGCCAACATAGCGCCCTTGATCACATCGCCGATTGCAAAGATACCAGGCACTTGCGTACGAAAAGCTTCATCTACTTCAATGCGACCAAATTTGTCTGTTTGGATGCCCATTTGCTCCAGTCCAAGACCAGCTGTAAAAGCGCGACGGCCAGTGGCTACGAGCACCGTGTCACATTCAATAGAAGCTGCATCGCCGCCTTGAGACGGCTCAGTCGTCAGTTTAACAACATCTCCATTTATTTCCGAAGCCGTCACTTTCGTGCCAAATTTAAATTCAAGACCTTGTTTCTTAAGCAGCTTGATAAAATCCTTGACAGATCCCTTGTCCATACCGGTACAAGCATCGTCAAGATACTCTACAACCGTCACTTTGGCCCCAAGACGCTTGTAAACAGAACCAAGCTCAAGTCCAATGACACCAGCACCTACAACTACAAGATGGTCGGGGATGCGCTTAAGTTCCAGAGCACCCGTAGAGTCTACAATCTTGCCGGCAGCATTGTCTACTGGAACAGGAGGTAATGGGGTGACCTCCGAACCTGTTGCAATGATAATGTTCTTGGCTTTGACAGTCTCATTCCCTTTGTGGTCATGTAGAGCCACAGACACTTCGCCCTGCGCCGAGATCTTTCCAGATCCCTTGATATAAGTCACCTTGTTCTTTTTGAAAAGCGACTCAATACCGCTTGTTAACGTTTTCACCGCTTTGTCCTTGGCTTTCATCATTTGAGGAAAATTTGCTGTAACTTCAGGAGCGTCTATGCCATAATTTTTGAACTCATGCTGCGCCGTGTGTAACAGATGCGTCGAGTGCAGCAGTGCTTTGGATGGGATGCAACCCACATTAAGACACGTGCCACCTAATTTACCGCGGGATTCAATACAGGCAGTCTTCATACCTAGTTGTGCGGCCTTGATAGCTGCAACATAGCCACCTGGACCACCACCTATCACGACCACGTCGTATTCAGAAGATGAAGAGAAGGCGCGTAGAGTGATGGAATGGTGCCGTATTGCTGAGCGGCGCGAGATCGAGGCAATGTTGTACAACATAATGATCAGATCTGGTGTGGGGAGCTAGTTGGAAACAAGAATAATGTTGCTGTGTGGACCGTAGAGCGTAGTCGTACTTAGTAAGGTAAAAAATAGCCACAAAATTTGCGATGAAGCAAATTCTAATTATTAACTCATCTTATATAAAGTCTCTCTTTACTGACTTAAGACAAAAGACTTAATACCTTACATATTGTCAAATTGCGTTTTGTGTTACATGAGGTATAACTAAATTTGTGCAATCATGGGTTCCTCGAGTGCGTGCGATGAGTGTGGCAAAAAATTTAAGGTGTTTGGTCTTAAGAGGAAATGCAAACACTGTATGGATGTCATGTGTAAAAACTGCCTAACTGAACACCTCGAGGTCAAGCACACACACTCAAATCGTTCGTCCAGGGGACGAATGTCGCTTGACACTTTGGACACTACCCGCGACAACACGAGACTGCAATATATGAGTTCCACTAGATTTACTGATTTGGACGTCGAGTTTGCAGATCAAAAACATTCACTAAATGGCGTGGATGCAATTGAAGCCGTAAGTGACGAGGAAGATGACGACCTTTTGGACTACGACGATGACGAATTGTCCATAACGACACTATCGAGACAGTCTTCTATCGAAGAATTAGAGCTCAGATATATGGAGATGCACAAGATGCAGGCTGCTGTAGCCACCTGGGCTATGAAAGAGAAGCAGGCCAAAATGGAAATGAAACTGAAAAAGATGAATAGCTACTGCCCCATGTCTCCTGTATTTCAAGAGGGTTGTGAGTATGAGAATTGCAACATGTTTGTTGTGAGTTACGCGATCGTAGCCACAATTCTCGTTTGGGCGGTATATGGAGTTTTGTTGTTTCTTTACTTCCACACTCGCACAAATCTCGCCTACGTATATTAAACATTTGCTTTTTCATGCTGCTTGGAATGCACCCTTGTATATTGCACGTGTTATCGTCGAAAATGTAGTCAATGAAGTGAAATATACAATTTGAGCCTTTGATACTTAGGATAACTCGACAGCATATACAAAGTAAGTAGCACCACAGTTTCAATTGATGATCGGATACGCCGATCTGCTAAGCAACGATCGATCATTGACTAGCTGTATCTAACTAAATGGATCAACACAGCAACTTTATGACTTGCTTACATTTGTTATCAAAGTGAAGACTTCTCTTACACTATCGTTATACATGAAGTGTTTCGGGTCATAAGATCTGCAGTCTAAGCTTGTATGACGTATTCTTCGTATGCGAAGTGCAAGCGTTTGTGATCCGCCATTTAACGAGCAACACGGATCTATGTTATCGAATATGGTAGCGGGGTCAAGGATAAGGTGATGCCGACAATATTTCTTAAGCCCAAGATGTACTTCTCCGTCCTCATTTTACATTTACGACATGCGACATAACAGCTAATAATCATCGGTTTCACAAGGATGTTGTCATCAATACAAAGGAAATATGATGGTTTCTATATCACCTTAACCAGGTATCATCTATATATTATGATATTCGTACATAGCCGAATGTGATCCGCTCAGCCAACCATACGCCAGTAGCTCGTAGCCTTCGAGCTGCATTCTCCCTTTGAATCGTCGAAGAAGCGCCCGACCGATCCTTATAAGGAAGCATGAGCAAACTCAACTCCGATCTCCTTTCACAGGCTGTTGATGACATCCTGGCGTTCTCTGCCGGTGAGACCGTCACCATTAACGGTAACGAATTAAAGGGCAAGAAGCGCAACTTTAATGAGACCATCGAGCTGCAAATTGCTCTTAAAAACTACGACCCGCAAAAAGACAAGCGTTTCAGCGGTACGTTTAAGCTTCCGACTGTGCCCCGCCCAGGAATGAAGATTTGCGTGTTGGGTAACGCTGTGCACTGCGAAATGGCTGAGAAAGAGGGCTTTGAGTACATGACGGTGGACGATCTCAAAAAATTCAACAAGAATAAGAAGGTCATTAAGAAGTTTGCCAAGAAATACGATGCATTCTTGGCCTCCGACACTCTTATCAAGCAGATTCCCCGTCTGTTAGGTCCGGGTTTGAACAAGGCTGGCAAATTTCCCACGTTAGTGACCTCGAGTGACTCATTGACTGAAAAAGCTGAGGCTGTTCGCGCTACCATCAAGTTCCAGATGAAGAAGGTCATGTGCCTCAATGTTGCCATCGGCCATGTGGGTCTCGACAAGCAACAGATTGTGGTAAACACGCAGCTGGCTGCCAACTTTTTGGCCTCGTTGCTAAAAAAGAACTGGCAGAATATCAAGGTGCTGTATCTTAAGTCTACGATGGGACCTGCAGTCCAAATCTTTTTCTAGATTCGCGTACTTAGGACTGCTCTGTCAAGACGTCTCACCATTGTGCATATATTGCGCAATGGAAGCCAATTCGACCACTGATAACATTTAAAGGGATTTGTTACAAAGGCACTGTCCATGTTGTCAAACCAACTTTTTGTGTTGTCAATCCTCTTTGCTCCTTCTTTCCAAATTTGAGCTGATAGGGACATTTAACCGATAGACGATTTACTTTTGGTGTTGCAATTGCAGTATTGTGCTATCTTTCACTACACTCCAAGCTATATTTTGCATCAATGTCTGATAATTCATTTCCAAGTGTGTGACGCTTAGGCCAAATGCCTAAAATAATGCAGAGGCTAGAGGTCTACAAATTTCAAATAAATTTGAATCGTGTGATAAGGCTTTGTACAACATAGTTAACCTACCTGCACATGCATGTGGTAACACCTTGAGGATTAATTGTGCTGTCTTTTCGTTGTATCTCTGACGGTGGTGGCAAATATATTCTTAGTATCTGGTAGGGACTGTGAAACTTTGCACCTTGACCACTAAATTTTTTACAATGAATCAGAGAAATATTATATTATGAGCCTTAATATGCAGATAAGCTAACTTCTGCTTTATTTTATGAGAGCCTCTTGATAAGTGACGGACTTAATAATGATATTATCAAAGGAGCAGCTAATAAAAAACTGATGAAATAATAGCGTAATACAACGGACTTCCCATTCTCGAATGGGGCCTGGCATTACCCCAAATTTAGAGCTTTAGATGTTAGATGCACCAGTCGGCCTATCAAGATGAGCACAAATGTTTATAACACAAATGAAGAGCGCCTACCTTGTTGCCTATATCGCGCTTTGTACTCTGTGAAACTACGTGCTGAAGTCTGACATCGTGTTCATTGAAGCTGTCTTGTAAAGCTGTACAATCAGCAAGGCGACGTGACTCCAACACGTATCGAATGAGTGATTTTTCAGCGCTCCTTTGAGTCATAAAACAGTTTCAAACAGGAGTAGATTTCTTTCAACACACCTGCTGTTGGTGCAGGTGGTTTTCCTAGTCGAAATGGCAACTGCGGCACCAACAACATTATCGCAAACTGGAAAATCAAAGTTATTGTTATTTTAGCTCACGATGTGAGTATTACCCGCTGGACAAGTATCGTTCCATAACAAAATATGTGATCCGACCAAGGATAGCTCTTGTCTGGCTGGCTATCGTAAGTTATCTCGGCTGTGGCGGCATGCCAGCTTTCCTCAAGACTCCCAACTTGCGGCAAAAGTGACACGAGTAATCTTCCAGACGCATTTGCTGAGCTGCACAAGTGACAGACTGGTCGAGGACGAAACGATGACAGATACGATCAAAAACTGCTATAAGTATTTCTTACTTTCGTGAAGCAAAGGCCCAAACGTATAGGAAGGAGTGCATCAAATGGATTCAGTCCATTACCAGAAAATGATTCAGTGTGAAGCGACTTCATCGGAAGCAATGCGATGATTACGGTTGCTGATCGATATATCCGGCTTGCTGGACCAAAAGCCGAAAGCGCAATCCGTACGGCGGAGAGGCAGTCGACTAAAGCAGCATCTTCCGAGAATGAGGCACGGCCTAATCATAAAGTTAAGGTGTGTATGCCTGTGCAACTTTCATTGGAGAGCATCTTTGCGGCTTCAATGAATATGGGTTGCATAGTGCCGGCCGTGAAAGCGGCTATTTTAGTGTATAGATAATCCTTACGCCTCGCACAGTATAAGAAATGTTTGTAAGTGCTAGCAATAATCTTTGCAGCTTGAAATCCGATCTCCCGGTGCAAGAATTCTCTGAAGAGCAGGCAAAGTTAAGCGAAGAGAGTAGGGCGGTACTCCAGATGTAGTCGTATCTCGTATAGCGGTCACTTTTGTAGGGTGTCTCAAGGAAAATCAAGTGGTTATCCTGATGTGGTCTACAATGTAGCGGGGGAAGGTATAATGTTAAAAGTACTGCAATCTTGTACATTCATTCTTTTGACATTTGGTATAATTGTACAACGGTACTTGGTTGTGATTGTAAATATTCTGAACTAGCGCTTTATTTATAATGACGACATCTCGAAAAGGAGGGGTATGTAGCATACGTGGGCTGCCAGCCGAAAACCAGAAAGTAAAGCAATGCATATTGTGCTAGCATAAGTAGCAGGGCACCTATATATATGGTTTTTGAAATAGCCGATTTAATTAGACACTTACTTACGGTAGACGCACTCGGCTCTACGAATGTCATGAGCAAACCAAATAATCTATGTGTGTTTGATAATGTGAAATCCTAAAGTCAAGTGCATGACAACCTTGTTGCACTTGGTAGCACTACCAGGACCTAGTCGTGAAAAGGCTGTAATCTCTACAAGGATGGGTCTTCAAGGGTGAAAATTTCTGCTTCCTTAACATTATAAGCTTATGGATATTGTGGGGATGAATGGGACCAGGCACTGGCGGTCAAAACCCCGGAAGCGGTAATCGCTAGCCAAGAAACGCCTAACAACTTAGCAAATGCGCTGAAGAGGTTTCAAGGAGCGCCTGAAACGAGCGACGGTGGAGAGACGGCTGATTCCACCGTCATACCACTAATGCTGATCGTTCAGGCGTTTGAGGGCCAAGGCGGAGAAAATTACTTCCTCTGGACGAGGAAAATTGACAACAGATTCGGTCATGCTTCAAACGGAGTGTCCACGCGCCGTATGTGTGGACTTCAAGCTAGGAAAGCCACGCGAGACAACGATACTAACATGGAACACCTCGATAGAAGGAGCTCTATCTGACGTTGGACAATTTCAGGCGAGGAATGGAGCTCGTTAGAACCGCGAAACCTGGCGAATTGGGCGCTATCTAAGTTTTTGTTCACATAGCAAAGAAGCAAATCTGGCGCACTATGTATAGGCTGGAATTTTTTATCGTCGAATAAAACGATCACCATCTTGACGATAAGACTTTGAGTAGGCGCGGCTCTCACCAAGGCTTTCTACGTCTTTCTTCAACCGTTCAAGGATGCGGAAGCTGTAGCTATAAATGTGAAACACAACTTTCGTACCGCGAGGACCGACTTGAGTACTGAAATTGGGGTCTCTTAGAGCGCGCAAGAGGTGATGAATCGCAGCCATGCTAAAAAAAGAGAGAGAAAAAGCTAATCAATTGAGAAACTTTGGATAACCGACGATAATTTATCCATGAGAGTACGAAAAACTGCCCATTCAGGGGTGTGACGGGTTGGGCTTTCATGCAAGCGATTTTGAAGGACCCTCCGCGAAAAAATTTAAGTGTCAGTAAACAATCATGCACCTACTTTGTTCAATCGCATATTGAGGTAGTCGCTGTCAATTGGATCCAGTTGAACAGCATGAGACGCTGTCTAGCTCTAAAATCATACTTGAGATTTGGTCTGGTCCTAAGTATGGCGTTGGTGGAACTCTACGATTCATGGATTGATAAAAAACCGATAAATTTATCTGCTTCACATTTTTCTGAGCATTGTCGATTTATCTCATCCTCGCCAGGAAATAGAAGCGCGTTTCTCGAGGGTACAAAGCTGTATTAAATTGCGTGCAGGACATTAATAGGAATGGTATTGCTAGGTGCCTCAAATAGCGCTCGGATGACAGAAGCGGTAGCCTCGGATTGACGGGTAGAGCGATTTCATATCTCGGTCTCTTGCGTTGATACGAATATTTCTGTATGTCTTGGTTCCCATTGCGGATCTCCGGCAGGTCGGTCAAGATTCCGCGAGCTGTTGTCTTCTATGCCGATGCCGGTGGAATAAAAGGGCAAATGGGATTGGTCATGAATTTTAGATGATGTGACAATACTGGTGAGTTGGCACTGCCGTGTGACGGCCCACCGTTTGGAGTAGTTTCACTCGAAAGGTAAGACACACAAAGAGGTTTTACTCGTGGATTAAGTCCAACTATGGTAGTCCTATGGGCTGGAAGTATTTTCTTTCTAAACCTGCAGTAGATCTCAAAGCTTTTTAGAAGTATTTTCTTTCTAAACCTGCAGTAGATCTCAAAGCTTTTTAGGGATGCATAACAAATTGCTTGACGGTGAGGTCATTGAATGGCCACCGTTGATATTAAAGTGGTGATGTGCGCAACATTTGTCTTGATTGAATATAAATTTGAAAACACTATCGGAGCACTGTGCGGAGGAAGCAGTGATCAGCAAGGATCGCACGGAGTCTTTTTAAACTCTGTTTAAGAAATGCCACAACATGGCGACATGAATGCTCTCTTATGTAACCGTACGGAGCTACGTAATGAAATTGACTTGGTACCGGAACCAAATATTGTGTCACGCGGCTATAGCATTGACCAAGGGACGTCATCGACTGTTCCAACTATGTCAATCATAAAGCAGGTTGATGAGAGAATCTATTTTCACGCTCGGCGCTGACATTCAATGGCAAGTGCCAAATTTTGCAAACTCAAAATATGCTGAATATAGCCACGTTTCAGGCGCAAACGCTGATTTTGAGAATGTATTTGCTGTTGAGCAGCATGTTCGGCTGCACATTGCCTAATACCCTTGACCTGATTAATAGGTATTATCAATCGCTGAAAAGAGACACAAATATCCTCTATATGGCTTGCTTCTCGTCGAAGAATGGTCTACATGCAGAAATCGCAAATAAAGAACCCATTCTTGATTAGCTAGTGCCTCTGTCCAAAGAAAACTTATGGATGGGCCTGGTTTAGCCAATTACTCGCACAAAACATGAGACTATGCCGACATGACACAAACCGTTAAAAATCTTGCTAAAATGAAGTCGATATGCGGCAAAAGAGGTAAGGCTGGTATAAGCCTAGATTTCTGCCCTGATTTCGGCTCATACAAAACCGGATCGGCCATTGCACGTCGCAATGCAGGGAGCCCTTATCAATTTCATGGTACCCCTTGTTACCTATGAACACATATACAAATTGTCTGTCTTCACGCATAGCGAATTTGGCCCCACATCTTTTGCAGAGAAAGCAGGATAGTTATTCTTCTTTACTGAGTACGCCTTTGAGATACGTTAGAAGCCGGGTTGTATTTATGTGATGGCGGATACATTTTCTCATCACATCGACTATGAAGTTGTTTTATGTCGGGCCAGATACATGATTTGTTGCGCTGTTAAAAAATGTGAAAAGTAATAAGTTAGAGGCCTCAAATGTCGCTTTTTTGAAGCGCACAGTGCCACACAAGAGGCTCTTGGTCTGACGATTAGGTGATGGACCGTAAGCTTATCCTGGGAACGTAAACAAACTCGGACTTTGAAGTTAAAATCTTGTTCATGCGAGGTTCATGGCAGGTTTGTCGCGCATAAACACATGTAAGAGGGGACAGGCCCTACGTGATTGTTGATTTGCGCATTTACTGGTACAAGGCGCAGTAAAAAACGATAAATTCTTAAGGTAGTGATAACGACGTTTTCTGGAATTTTAGCGACACAGTGCAATATTTTTGTAATTCCTTGTTTATGACATGCGACCTAGATGCCAGCAGCTCACTGGTTCTCGGAACAATCATGTTGAAACTTCTTAAGCTATTATAATTCTTCATTGAATAATGCTTTGCATGACAGTATACAATGTTTAAGTGGACAGAAATTTGTTGACATCGCATGAATGTTTTTCATCCCATTTTTTGGTGTCTCCAACTGAAGCCGACACCAAAAAATGAGCCGAGTTCTGGGTAAAAACATAAGTTGAACCCTTTCAATCCTTTGTGGTTGAAAACAGCAAAGAAGTGCTACAATTCCGCCCGTTTTGATGTTTCTTTGTCCTTGATGAGAGACCTTTGAACGTCTAGCATATTAGGTCTAAAAGCAGTAGTCAGAATCCGTTAATTTAAAAACGCAACGATATGACTTGTCAGCATGCTCAAAATTGCGATGCTCACTATCTTTTCGATTACAAAATAGAGAAATGTTCATAATCTTGTTGGCAATATTCTAAGTGAAATCAACAAGTTCCTCAGACTTCCATATCTTCTATTGGAAAGGCCGTTCCCACATGCCAGAGAGAAAAACACGATTTTCATCTTTCTCTGGCGCCCGTGACCTGTCCATGCGTACTTATCGAGTCCTTGTGCGTTTATATGCAATGAATACTTGTCCATACGTAAAATGCGCTACTGACGTCCTGTACTAGAAAAGGTCCGTCGATTTACGACCGTAGCGACATTAACGACTCTCCACCAGATGTCGAAGCTGGCAACTAGCTCCACGATACAAAGCGAGCTATAGAGGTAACGGCGACCTTCAGATACACAATCTATAAAGCAGCAAAAGTATCGGTGTGATTGTTGAAAGGAGCGATGGTGCATCGTTCTCGAAATTATTGTGGAAAACATCACTCAGGGTTGAGTTTACGTATATTGATTGCTGATGTTTACGCTCACTGAGTACACATGATTGCGTGCAATATGTCCACGTGTTCGATATATGATATATAATTGGCTAGTTGAAAAAGTATGCTGCGACTAGAAGGCTTAAAGGTAGCGCTAGCGAATATTGACCTTAAACAAACAAAAAATACTTCTCAGTTCCGCCACCCAACTACTCAAGTCAAGCTTCTCTCCCTGTCGCCGCACTCGTAACGTTGATCCTGGTAGCAGCCTATAAGTGTCCTTGCTTGTCGAACTTGTCCGTAACATCACACAACAAACTCTGAGACAAGGTCTGCGGTTTAATGCGATTGTGCTTGTCCCGCTAGTCCATTAATAGAGGTCGACTTGGATGTAATTTTGTGGACTAAAGGTTCAAAGTCGAAGTAACACTTTAGTGCAGCTCGGTGGATGACAAGTCAAGCCCGTCAATATCCGACCAACAACATAAATCTTCAGCATTTCAACAGTGATATTGGCCCGTTGGTTTACAAGCAAAGACTACCTAGCCAAGCGAAACCCCAGCAAACTTTCGTTTAACAGATGCGTTGGGGATCGCTGTATCTTTGTGCTAACTGACACTATACGGCGCTGCCATCTTGTCGTCAATGAAAAGTAGCATCTCCGAATGTACTCACATTTTGTGGATGTGTGTGGTGTGATTATGCACGCAACCCAGTTGAAAATGAAAAACTCATAGAGTGAACACAACAATTACAATGTTTGGCTTGAAACTATGGCTAAAAATGCACCTGCATGTGAAGTCTGCGTAAATTGGCGCTGCCAAATATACGTCTTTTACTGCCAGAAACAAGGATTCAGTAATGTATCTGCGTGAATTCATATGCTGCTTCACGAGCTCGATGATACTCTCGTCCAAGATTATCTGAACAACTGCTTTAGATTGAGTTATCCTATCTTCCGTTTCTTGTAGCAACGATAATCATGTGGTAATATTTGACGCTCAAAAACAGACCATATAATTAGCATTTGATGAAATCTCTATTTAGAAGTAAAGCTTTAATCCTGGTAATTATTGCAAGACACAACATAGACCGTAGAGTTCACTAGGGGGAAGTGGATAAATTTCTATTTCCCTGTAGTCGATCAATCCTTTTCAACCGCTATGATTCTACGCAGCTACTGCCGCCGCGACAGCAAACTTGAAAATGGAATAAGCAAGCACAGTACTGGCCACACAAGCCTTGCGAGACCTTGACTGGGGTTTATATAGGTAAACTTTAAGAAAGTATGAACTGAGGAAAATTATAGTGCGACTATGAGCTGATTGAGGCGAAATCTGTTATATATGATTGCGATGTCTTCTTAAACAGTCGAGTGGACGATTCGTCGCATCTTGATTCATGTGGTGTAAAAGCGACAAGCAGAAATATATCGCTCAAAATCAGAGAATTACTTGCCACAAGTCTACTAGATTACACGTCTTTAGTGGAATTAAACCAAGCTTCTGTGCGGTCGGCAACATCTAAGCTGGATGTTTTTCCTACTTAGGGAGCCGTGTTTGACAGAGCAAGACCATACAAACGAACATATTTGATAGCTTGCACTCGTCAGGCATACGAAAGTAAAATTTCTTGTAGGGTGAAGGTGCGAGGCAAATTATACGTTCTGAAAGTGCCGCGAGCGACACTTAAGAATATTTCTAGTCCTTTATACACTGAAGTAATGCTTTTCGAGCTATTGCCATCAACGTCAGATATAGAAAGTATTAAATATTTATGAGAACACCTGGCGCACGAAGCGGGAGTTGCTAAAAGATCAAATTCGCTGCATACGCTTATACATTTTAATATGGACAATCAGGAATCCGTCCCACTGCAATTTAGTTTGACGTAAGGAGATGAACTAAATTATATATTATCGTCAATCAAATGCTAAGCATAGCATTGAATATGTAAAGGTCAAGTTTTATTAAACTTAGTGCATGAATTCCAACTGTCCATTTCTGATGCGTCAATTTGTCTGTTGCCCATGAGCTCTAACATCTTCGTTTAACGTCGTCATAACTACACTGTCGTTATCAGCCTTATAATATTTTTTATGTATTCACTCTGCTAAGAAAGCGTTTGCTGAAGTCATTTCAAAAGGTAAGGGTACATGGATCCTTTATACCATGCAATTTTGTGAAGGGGTTAAACACCTGATTAAGCGGGATATTGAGCCACCACGTCAACACCACACGCCAAGAATATCTGTTAAGTACAAAAAAGGTAAATCTTTTGAGTGTGAAAAAACAGCTAAAGTCTCACATTTAACACTTGATGTGCACACTTGTGTTGCCCACTACATCTTAATGCACAGTGCAACCGAGAGCCTGTAATCTTTTTTTCTGGCAGAGTTTTTTTAGCCGTCCGCGAACATCACTATTTGTAATTTGGGTTGGAGCTTTATCGCTTGTGCTTGACTTGTTTGTGTAGAAGAAAACTAATATTCATGTATTACGTCTGCAAATAACATACGACATTCTAAACTAAAGAGTCGCGGACTTGATGGTACTAATAAATGAGTGCTGCCATTTAATATTGCGCCTTTGTACAGTACACATAAAAATCTGCGGTAAATATCGCGGGCGTTGTATTAGGGACCTGACTAAACAGGAAATGCACCGGGGATATTTACTTATAGTGTATAGACACTGACTTAGCGGCTCAAAACTAGATTCCGCGTACTTGAACCCAGCCTTAAGTGCTGGAATTATTAATGCAACGACGTCACAGTGTTGTGTCTAGCTATATGAGCACTTTTCTGCATTCCTGACCCTTGTTACTAGCTTAAAGATCTTGTGCATCTAGTCGGCGATTCTGCACCACTTGCTTTGTTTGTTGGCATAACCTCAATGCCGTCGGATTGTCTATCTTTGAGCATCTCACTGTACCACATGAGACATGACTCAGTCGTCGATAATAAAGTATTTACTATGTCACACTCATCCCAACATGAGTGTCGAGTATAACGACGATCCTTGCTTATGGTCAGTCAAGTACAAGAACATCACAACACTTGAGATTACACCCGGGGCGATTATTCTGCAACGTCGTTTTGTGCGCTATCGTGGCTACTTACGAGAATGGGTTTTGGTCATGATCTCTAATGGGTAATTAACTTCCAAGATATGGTCCAATCCACGAGTTATTTGTCTAAACCCTTTGCTCTAGATCATCAGAGCCAACTGGGAATATTACTTTTGTGAGCCATAGAAAGACGACCCTGCTATGCGAACAAAATATTGTGAAAGATCTTATATTGTTTCATAGGTCACGACACGCAATTATTACGTTACCGCTCGCATGCCAGTCTATCCCATAACGTCCACATTTCAACACACTCCAGAGTCTATCTCGGCCCAATTTCAACTATAAATCATCTCCATTCAGATTAGCTTATGCCTTGGTGAATGATATATTTTTTGACGCGTTTGGGCGGAGAGACAAGTGATCGCGGTAGAAGAAGTGTTTCCTCGCGTTCAGAAACGAAGTTCACGCCTCTAGAGGCTTTCAGCCTTTGAATAAACAGTTTAACGACACCCTTTTCTATTGTCATCTACACAAAATGCAACGGGCGATGTGAAGATGGTTTGTTGTTTGGTCATGTCTCGACTGTGAGGTATAATTCTACATGCATAAGGTTAAAATGTGCACATACAAAATCTGAAGATTCAACAGCCTAGTGATCTCAGCGTGGTTGCTCCATTCTTCCCATAATCGAACTTCGAATTTCTGCCATTTAAAAAATTTTCATGTCTAACCAAAACGTCAGCTCTGCTGACCTTACTATAGAGCTCACGGCGAAAAAAGTATGTAGAATTATTTCGATACGAACCGAAAAAGCGACCGCTAATTTAATTTAGAAAACAGAAAAACGTTACGGCAAAACAGCCTTAGAAAAATGCGCTAAGATAAATTGATCACCAATCAGACAAGAGCACAGACAAAATTTCCTTTCAAGGATTCTTTATTGAGAATTAGAGCCGGTGGGCAAATTTCACGAGAATCAGTACAATTCTAGATTGGTCTATGCCTTTGACTCAAGAAGAGCTTGGCTTAGCCAATTACCTGCAGAGGTACAGTGGCAACTATGCCGACATGGCACGATTTCTAACCAATCAATCCAAAAATGTCTTTTGGATTTGAGTGTGGCAGAATTAGCTAACTTCAAGGCCAAAAGAAAGACTCATGCGTGCCTAAAATCTGGCGCTCCCCAATCCAGTGACTAATGAAGGCGTCTCTGATGCTTCATATTTTGTAAAAAGCTGGGCTGATTCCCAGGCAGATGACGATGGCGATGAGAACGTTGTCGAGGTTGAGTCTCATTAGATGAAAATAAAAGATCTTCCGTGTTCATCATCAGAAACCACTGCAATGAAGTATGCCCTCATTCTGTTCATGTACATCTGCTTGTCTCGTAGCAATATATGATCTGCGGTTAGTGATGCCGTCATCATATCTATCACAGAAAATTGCACAGTGTTCGGCCTTCTTTAAGGCGTATAAGATATACGTCGAGTTCACCTTTTTGTCGTGATAAAGTGTGCTTTCGCGTAGCTTCGAATTGCCGGAAGTGATAATGGTGACACTTCGAATGATGAAACGATATGCACTTACACGCTGCAGTATGTGTTGAGTATAGAAAAGCATGATATCATGTTGTAGATTACTCCAATCATATCGCGAGTTTGCATATTCGCGCCGCTGTGCCATACCTCTATTACATCGCTGATCAAAATTATCCTTAGCATGTATCTGTGCCTCTCAGTGAGAAGGTCAAGTACTAGTAGTGTTCACGACACAGGACACTCCTTTGGGTGGCCGACTCGGAAGAAAAAAGACATACTGTTAGGTAATCGCCATGTATAGGTGACCCGATTTGTAAAAGTGAGCAAGCACATCAGTGCGCACGTGTGTAACATGTCAACGAGTTGTGAATTTGCCGCATTTGAAACCTTTTTTACTACTTTGCTGGAACCACCAAAATGGCGTAGTGCATATCAAAGGAAAGTTTTCGATCAGCCCCAGGACGTTTCCTGTCATGCCTGTGTTTTGGTCTCTGTGGGACCTCTTCGCAAGAAAGCCATTGCGCCGCTGTCTGCGATGCTCAAATAAGCTAATTTTCAACATGAACCCCGGAATCAATTGCATCGGATGGACATCCATGCGATCTGGCAAATGTTTGAAGGATATCGTGAAAAATGCTCGGTTCCAGATTAAATATGCCAATCACAGACCAGATTGCCAGACGAAACGCGTAATCTGTGATTTGAAAGATATCTTTCGAATTATTGATGCGAAGAAAAGGCAGTACTTGAACGAGTTGCTTCCACTCATGTATTTGTGTCGAAAGGCGCAGTATTTTTCACTTTTGACTTTGCCCTGCTCTCAAAAAGGGTTTGATACACCCCTGACATCGCTTCAAAGTGGCGCTGGGCATAGTGGGGTAGAAGGATGCCAATCAACATTCGCTCGCCGACTTGATACTTGCAGTTAAATCGTAGCTTTCATATCAAAATTAATTAAAAGTCATGCTGTAACGGGGTTGCATATGAAGCGGTGGGTTGCACAAGATGGTGTTACACAAGTTGTAGTGATCACACAGTGGTGTGGCTAAACCGTAACAAGAAGCCACCACGCGGCAGGATTGCCGGTAGTTATGCATATTACTACATTAATCAGGTTTTACGCCTGAGTCGCTACGACCGATACTCTGTGATGATGGAAGAATACTCCTGTTCGCCCCAAACAAGCAGGACGGGCTTAATATACTGACGTCCGTGCTGAGCCTTGATGGCGTGGAGCACCTTGTTGCGCAAGGGCTCAAGACCATAAGCGCAACAAGAGGCGTTTTTAAGTTATGAAAATGCCCTATTAGAGCCCTTACAGCAGTAGCTATCAGCGTCGACAGCGACGATGACGCCACCGTCGACGATGAATGATTCCTTCCGATCCAGGCCGCTCATGGTGGGCGTACGGGGAAAAGGACAATTTTTTTAATATTCCAGCCACCAATTTTATTAGATCTTGAAATTGCAGAAAACGGTAAGAAATACAGAAGCTTTTGCTCTGGGTGGGAGAGGCCGAAATGGCTATGGCATCCACCATGCTCCAAAACGAGCAACAGCGCTTTGCACTAGCAGTCACCAAGTTTGGGGACCGAGCGCGAGAATGGTTTTTCACGTGTGGTGCTTCGGTTAAAGGTGCGTTTCTCTCCTGGAAGAGGCTAAACCGCCAATTTTTGCGAGCGTTCTCGCCGCCTTATCGGGCAGTCGCGTGCGATCGCGAGTCCTTGCTGCTCGACAGGGTAAGACGGAGGTAATGGACTTTGTCCAAGCGTTGAGAACTCTCATTGCCGGTATGACAGCAGATCCTCTCCCCGAGGCGGTCACAGTGAACGTCTCTATAGAAGGCCATCGCACTGGCGTTGCCAGAAAGGAAGTCTTTCGTGTGCATCCGTCTGCTTTTGAGAAGTCGTAAATATGACATTGAATGCCGAGTTCATCTTCAAGTCAGCACGACTTGGTTGGAATGCACATCATCGAGCAGGCCTGAGCCAAAGGATCTCAGCTACGCTGAGAAAAACGAAGGAGAGCTCCGAGCTGTCGAGCAGCGTTTGAACACCCAACGGTTTTTTGTCTGTGGAGACACCCGTCACCCTCGGTTTGTTTGTCCCCTGTGCAAGGCGCGTAAAGATTCGTCGAACCGGCGTCCCGCTTCTAACCAGTCTGGTTTGTTGCGGGGAAACGACCGAATTCAGTAGGCGCGGGGCGCCCTGCTGATGAAGAACTGAGTTCTGTGGAGCCTAAAAAAGGTAGAGGGCAGCGAGGCCCAGCCCCGAAGAGATTCGTGCACTTGAACACGGAACGTGTATGCTAGTCGGGCTTACTGGTCCTAAAAGCAACCGTGACAATCTTTGAGAAACTATGGAAGATCCTTATCGATTCCAGGGCGTCAAGCAATTATGCTCGAAGCTTTACGATCGAAGGAAGTCAGCTGTATGCTAAGGCGCTGAAAGCGGGGTTGAGTGACACCGTCACTGGTCGCTTAACGAATGGGACTTTTGTCACTGTGCCGAGGGTCTTTGTGGACCTTGGTATCAAGGTTCTTGACTTAGGTAGCGTGGAACGCTGCTTAGTTATAGACTTAGATGCGAGATATGACCTTACCCTTGGTATGACATGGCTGGAACACTATGAGCCATAGATTGATTTGAGGTTAAAGACACTGGGCGCTACGCACACATAATCTAGTGGAGCTTGAATGAGTCATGAACCCACCTCTGATGGGAGGCAGAAGCACTATTGGCGCGGAGCTTGGACCGGGACGGTCAATGTAGTTGGTATCGGAGAATCCGAGTTGTCAAACACCGAAGGTGTTTTGGACGATCGTCTCATGCTTGGCTCGCTGGCTGAACGTGGAGTGGCGCGTAACCCACTAAGCGTTGCTCACGTTACGAAGCAGTTGCTGCATGCCAAGAATGGCATGGTCGAACGAGGTCTGAGGCATCAAGGGCGAGGCCCTTGTGATGTGCGTGGAGTGGCGTGTTATCCACTGGACAAAGATTGCGAAAATAGCAGCTCTTCGTTGGACGTTGTTAATAACATCAAGGCTCCGATGTAGCAGTGAATGAAGACACTAGACGACGCCGAGTTCGTGTTCTTACCGGTCTCGATGAGACGTAACACCTCTTTAGAGAGTAGACGGCGAAGCCGTGTTTATCTGCAAGACGCAGTTCGTCGACCCCGAACCAGGGTGTGTCTCCGTAGACTATAGCGCACAGCTATATACCCTTGTCAACGGATTGACGAGAGAGAAAGACGGCGACGTCATCCTTGAGCTATTCCTGCGGTGAGTACTCTTCTTGAGCTGGACGAGATGTCTTTCGAAGAGTTTGGCGGAGCCCTGAAGGCAAGCCATTAAGCCGAGGTGGTCAGTATAAGACCGAAAGAGGAGATTAACTCGTCGTCGCTTTGGATGAAGCTGTCCTGGAGGTCACTAAGAGGGTGCTGAACACAAGAAGGGAATCGTCGGTTCTGAAGGACCCCTCGGATCCGTATTATGCTTTGGTAAAGAATTGCAAGACGTCTTCTTCAAAGACCCACCATCGGTCCTACCAACGGAACGAGGTGTGCGTCGTGAGATTGACCTGGTTCCAGGAGCCAAATACTGCGTGTCACTGCTCTTTGGGCAGAAGTCATTGACGACCTATT